CCCCCGGGGTGGGTTGGCGGGGCCGGGGTCGGCCGCGGGCGAAGGGCGGGGGCCGGGGGGTTGGCCGGCTCCGCGGGCCGTGAGGAGCGGAGCGGGGTGGGCGGACAGCTCGGTGCCTTTTTGGGAAGGGGAGGGGGAGGAGGTGTCGGTGCGGTACCTGGCGGCGGGATGGGGAGAACCCTTCCATCCGCTTTTGTCCTTCGCGCAGGGCTCAGACGCGCCGTTCCGTCGTGGGCAGCCATGGGTAAAAGGCGGTGGGCACGGCCATTGGGGCACGGCGAGCTTTTTTTGGCCTCGTTTTGCGGTTTATTCCGTTGGTGGAAGCGGGACGGGCAGGGGGGTGGGCGTGCAGCGTGCTGTGCCGGCAGACGGGCCGGCCGGGCCCCTCAGCACAAAGAAGTGTCTGGGGTGGAGGGCAGCGCTCCTGGAGGGAGGGCGACGGGGCATCTCTTAAACCGCTGGATTCGGGGCAGTCTGCTAACATCCCCAAAAAATGGAGTATCGATTCCGTGTGAAATCAGTCGGGGCCGGGGAGATTGCTGACTGCGTTGCAATCAAGCCAGGAAAGAAGAACAGCAGCAGCATCCCCAGAGCTGAGGATCAGTTACACACAGAGTAGCCAGAAAATGACCTGTCAGGGGCTGAGATGGGAGAGGTGTATAGATAGGGTGGCCTGTGTAACATTTCTCTTTGTTTTAGTGGTGTTTCCCTGAACCTGGGGGCATTACTGAGTATTGGTAAGCTTTGAATATGGTCGGGTTTTGACACTTTTATTGTTGCCCCATAGTAGTTGATTTTTGTAGTTGGCCACTCCTTGCACAAGCAGGAAGACCGGGGCAGATCAGTATCGCAACCACAGTGAAATAAGTGGTTTCCTTTCTGATCCAAACCACTTCTATTTAGTGCCCTAAGCTGAAAAGCTGCTCTTTACAGTTGTTTTTGTGTTGCATCTTTTCTTCTAAGTGTTGTTTCCTCTCTGTCTATTTAAGCTGCTCCGTTTCCATCTTTTCTGCATCCATTCTGCATCACTTCTACTCTGCTAGCAAGCCAAACTTTTCCTTTTGGCCTGGGCTATCAGAATTCCTGTAGAATCTCCCTTTGTTTTGTGCATGATGGCAAATGATGAGAGGCAGCTAAACCTATCGCTTTCAACAAGTTTTGATTCAACCAATAATAAGAGTATTCTTGCTATGTTTAATTGGTCTTTGGCATAAAGATTTGACTTACGTAAAATGCATCTTTGATGGTTCAATATGTGAGAAATACACATTTTTGTACTGGTTGGTTTGTTGGTTGTCTGATTCTTTTCTGTGGAAGGGTTTCATCCTCCTGGCAGTTGTAGTTAGAACAGATCACACCTTCAGAGGCTTAGCATACTGAACTTTGGTACAGAATTTTTTGCAAACGCTTTCAGATCTCTACGAAGTTGAAGTAATAAGTTGTGAGAATATGGAGGAGCTGTTCTGACATCTTTGAGTGGGATATCTAAAAGTTCAGAAGTCAGGCTTTCATGAAACATTCAAGCTTGTGACAAATACAAATGTTTTTATGTGATGTGTTTGACAAGGTTTGATTTAGAAAGGAACTTGAAGGTTAATGAATGTGAAGGTTATCTGTTCTGTGGCTGTGCAGAAGACACTTGTAACACATGCCAGATGTCAGTTTCTAGTAGTGTTTGCCAGTTTAAAAAAAATACTGCCTTTTTATCTTGAAGGGAAGACAGTGATATTTACCAGACAGATTTTTCTAGACTTTTAAGGCTGTTCTGACACTCCTGTTGAAGGATGCTAATGGTTCATTTTGCAATTTATACTCTGTGGTGGCTAAAGAGTTGAAAGATGCCCTGTGATAATGCAGTCTTCAGGGCTAGAACTCAGTTTTAGCTGATGTCATGACATGTGCTGAAAAGTTATGTTTCTGCTGGTGAGATATTGGGGGAAAAGTAAGGTCTACAAGCAAAGAATTTTGTATGGGAAAGATGCATTGAAAAGTTATTTCACTTTAAGCTGGGTAATTCTAAATGACCAGCAATATTTTGCTTAATGAACTGTATAATTGCTAGGAAGGAAAGCAAACACGGGGAAATCAGCCAAAGTAGTTATTGTTTGAAAACTATAACAGTTGTGCTTTAAGACTAGAAATGCCATTCATCAACAACCGAAAAGGCATGTCTTTCCTCACTGCAAAGTTGGCTTCTTATCAGAATCCTGGTTGACATGGCACGGTACAACTCTTTTAAGTTTTTAGTCCCCTAGGCTAAGCTACTATAATATGGAGGGTCAGAAAAATCTTAGTTTCAGCACAAACATTTAAGTGGCACAGTTCTTGGAAAATAATTCCAGCCCCCATGAGAAGATTTAGGTGACTACTAGTTGGCTAGCCTAGCTACACAGCATTTCAGGAAATGTAAGTGCCCCTGTGAGCAGCACTGACGAGGTGTTTCAGTAGGCAATGCCACTAAGGGGGGTTATTTCTGGATTCCTGTTGGTTGGAAGTGTAGGTGTCTCGCTGGTTAAGATTTTGCACATTAGGTACCTGCCTTCTGCTTAGAATCAAGAGCAGCAAGCCCTCTCCTGTAAAAAGAAACCCAGTGGCCACCTTTAAAGAAAACTAGTGGTGCATAGGGAAAGCGAAATTGGATTATGGTAGCCTAATGGTTAGAAGAGTTGAATGGGACAGGACAGATACTGTTTCTGTTACCTCAAATCTCAGTGGTTTCAAGTCCCTGTTTTCAGTTTATCAGAAAAATGTCCTAACCACCAAGCTGAAAGAGTGTGGGTAAAAGCACCTGTACGTATACTTTACTGCTGAAGATGGAGGGCAGGTAACACTGCAATAGGTTTTTTTGCCCAGGAAATACATTTGGAGCAATGTGGTGGGTTGACCTTGGCTGGCCACTGGGTGCCTACCAAGCCAGTCTGTCACTCCTCTGCCAATTAACAGGGCAGGGGGCGAAAATATGACAAAAAGCTCGTCAGTCAAGATAAGGACAAGGAGATCACTCACCAAGTACTGACACCAGCAAAAGAGACTCGATTTCAGAAAGTTAATTTAATTTAATGCCAGTTAAACAGACTAGGATAAGGAGAAATAAGAAAAACACCTATCTACAAACACCATTCCCCCACCCCTCCTTTCTTCCCAGACCCAACTTCACTCCCAACTCTTCCACCTCACCCCTGCAGGCAGCGCAGGGACACGGGGACTGTGGTCAGTGCAGAATCCTCTGTCTCTGCCACTCCTTTCTCCTCACGCTCTTCCCCTGCTCTGGTGTGGATTCCCTCCCATGGGCAACAGTCCCTCATGAACTGCTCCGATGTGGGTCCTTCCCACAGGCTGCAGTTTTGACTAGACCAGACTAAAATGTTTCAGTTGGAATAGACCTATGATGGTCCAACTGCCTGACTTCCTCTGGGGTCACCAAAAGTTAAAGCATCTTATTAAGGGTGTTGTCCAAATGCCTCTTAAACACTGACAGGCTTGGGGCGTTGACTGCCTCTCTAGGAAGCCTGTTCCAGTGTTGGACTTCCCTGTCAGTAAAGAAATGTTTCCTAATATCAAGTCTTAATTTCCCCTGAGGCCACTTTGAACTAATCCCATGTGTCCTATGGCTGGATCCCAGGCAGAAGAGATGAGCGCCTCCCCCTCCACTACCCAGGTCACAAGAACGGGAATTTTGCATCATACTACTAGAAGTGAACTGCTCCAGGGTGGGTCTCCCATGGGGTCATGGGTCCTGCTCCTGCATGGGGTCTTCACCACTGGCTACAGCTCCTACCAGGAACTCCCCTGTGGTTTTCCCACAGGCCTCAGCTTCCTTCAGGGCACATCTGCCCGCTCTGGTATGGAGTCAACCACTCTTCAGCCCATGGAGATCTGCTCCACTGTGGACCTCAACGGGCTGCAGAGGGACAACCTGCTTCACCGTGATCTTCTCCATGGGCTGCGGGGTAATCTCTGGTGCCTGGAGCACCTCCTTCCTCTCCTTCTTCACTGACCTTGGTGTCTGCAGGATTGTTTCTCTAATGTTCTATCACTACTCTCTCTCAGCTGCTGTGCAGCGATTTTACCC